AGTCCACATATGGTTTACATCTGCAGGTTGAGTGTTCAGAAGAGCCTCTCAATCTCTCCAACAGGCTCAGGATGGAAAAGGAAAGATCCCCTCACCTGGCGTAGTCTTCTCTGTGCGAGAAGGGATTGACCCATCCGGGTGTTCGTTTTTACTTAGGACTCAGTACTTTGTCAGCCAAGCCCTTGCTAAATCCCAGAAGAGACACCATTTTGATGCAAGCTACAAAAATTTCATTTTATTTCCACTTGGGTTTGTCAGAAAGTTTCCATACCAATACACATGTGCAGGTATTGTATTTCATTTCAATATATCTGGTAGCACTTGGAGATTTATAATGTGTGCTGGGTTTCACTGTTTATTGCTAAACCACAAGTGCCCTTCTCCTTTCCCAAAGTGGCTTTTGCTCCCTCCTTCTCAGGTACCAGTCCTAAGGGCAAAACAGGGTGCTGTTTTCAATTTTCCTTTCTCCTTAACACACACATCTAAACTCTAGCCAAGTATTTACTTGCTTTGATTTCAAGGACGATGTCTACCACAAAGCTCACTTTGACAATGTGCAATGTTGTAAAAAACACCTACTGAGAGGAAAATCGAATCCAGCAGTAATCAAATACTACTCAAAAGAAACTAATCAGCCAAAATTAAAGCTTCTTCCTATGACCGTACCATGCTTCATCTCTCTCTGAACCTATTGCGAAAGTAAGTCTTTTGCTGTGTGCACAGAATGCAGCAGAATCCTTCTGCTTTCCCTTGTTTTCGGTGAAAGCCATCATTTCTTTCCATGCGAGAAGTAAAACCACTCCTGCAGGCCATCTTAGTTACTGGAACTGCATCTGTCTTCTCTGTGCAAGAATTATTTTGATTTTCCTTCTGTATCAGCCTGATTTTATTAACTTCTTTACATTTTTATTGCTACTTCAGTTTTTAAAAACTGTGACTCAACACTGTAAGAACTGAAATGTGTAACGCGGTATTAACTTCTCTTAGCGATAATTAACAAATTAACATTTCCCCTTTCCCTAGTCAGAGAAAGCGCAACTAAATCCCTTCCCATCCTGCTAGTCCTCCACAGGTTGTTCTCTTTTCTGTCCACATCCCAGTTAGAGGAAAAAAACCCTATCTCTTCTTTTGCATGGTCTCCTATGCAGAGTATAGTGACAGTCTCCCTAAACTCATCCCTAATGTCTTTATTCTGCTTTTAAGTGCCTCTTTTCAAATCTCTTTTAAATCCCACTTCCCTGCTCCTTCCACGAGTGATATATTTTAAGGTGCACTGATAATTCAGCCTATCTGAATTTCTCCCATCACCTTTACCTTTCTGATCTAACCTTATATTAGCAAAGACAGAATGTGGCTAAACTGTGTGTTGTTATTTCTAATAGTAAGATCTTAAAAGTAGAGTACCTATTACATTACAAAAAGCATTAAACATACAAATTTTCTGTGGTTGTCAGGACAGCTTCAGTAACACTTCACAACAGATCTGGATGCAGAAACCTTAGACATCGGTAGCTTTTGTGAGAGAGGTTTAAAGGTGGAAAACACAAGAGTGGTGTTAATGAGTGCCTAAACAGACTATTGCTAGGATCATGAAGATGACGTGTTAGTTACGGATATCCAACATTATTAAGTAAAATCACATCGATCTAATTATTAATCAATGGAGATGTCTTGCCAGCATAGAGCGAGAAGTTGCTATTTGCAAGAAGGCATGATGGAACCAGTTTTCTGTGCACTTTTGTGTGAGAGCAAACAGATCTATCGCTTTACTTTTGCTTGCTGTAGGGGTTGTCTGGCAACAGTAATAGATACAGAAAAACTTGAAAAAAACCCTCAAACATCCACACCTTTGCAAAGCTGTTGAAGAACTCTGATCCTCTGCAAAGCAGCCCTACAGGGGGGTGGTCCTGGGGAATCAGTCCCTGGGTTCAAGCTGTGTGCCCAAGCTTTGGACATGATGCATGGGGAGTACTAGGCCCCTCTGAAACAGGTTCTACAAAAGCCAATGCTAAGGTAGCTAAGAGGAAAGGCTGAGGAGGAGGAATTAAGCCTAAACCTCCATGGAATTTTACACTTTGCTCAGGGCCAGATTCGCAGCAAAGCATCTCTGAGGGGCTGGCACTGCATCAACGCAGAAATTTCTGATACAAAAAAAAAAAAAAAAAGAGAAGGAAATCCTTCTCATCTTCACTCCTTCCTTTAGCATGCATACAGTGATTAGAGCACTTAAGCTGGGTGTTACAGATTCACTTTTTTCAAAGGGCATTAGGATTTAGGTGGCTCTGTACACCATAGCAAGCTCTTAGTGCCACGGGAAATACACTGATCTGCCTGCCTAAGGCACACAGGCCTCCAGGGCTAGCCATAACTGAAAGTAGAGAAGAACAGGTGTGGATTTTATGTATGTATTTTGGTCATCAGAGGCATAAATTCCCTGTGGTGGAGACAAAGATATGTTATAAACATATGAATGTTCCTTTATGGTCTCAGCCTCAGTTGTGAGAGTTATCTCCTGGTTTTGTAAGACTGAGTAGATTCAGTTCAAGACATCACCAGAGGAAAATAGCAGAAAAAAAAAACCAAACATCTCTGGACCATAGCTGGAAACTGGACCATGGAAATAGATAAATAGAATCAAGTTTCAATGCTTGTTTTGGTGGAGATCTTGTCTGGGGATCTTGGCAGGAGTATATGAACAACTGTTACAACTTTAAAAAGCCAACACCACTTTAATTGTGCAAGTTTCAGGAGCAAAGCTCTGATTTATTGTATATTCCTAATGCAGGAAACCCATATGCTAGAGAGGAGAGTAAGATGTGAAAAACTGGCACCTGAGGCCCTGGTTTGGGGGATCAGAGGGTGGGAGCAGTGAGAATGTGGGGGGGAGACCTTGTCTGAGAAGCATCTGGTAAGAAGAGGCAGGGATGCTACCGCTGCCGGCACTCACCCAAGCACAATGAATGATCAGGGTTTAAACCCTAGTATCCCTCTGCAACCCAAGCATTTGGAAGGGGCTGTGTTGGAGGATCTACTCATCCCACTGCCCGTTAAAACCGAGATGTCTCTTTAATAGGGTGCTGAAATATTGTCTTTCTCTAGTTATGTCGTGGTTTTTTTACAGCGACAGAGGGGCAAGTCTAAAATGTGTGTGGAAGGGACACAAAACCTGGTTTGGGAATGCCAATGCCATTTACCAGGGCTCTGTGGAGGACTGCACAGCCGTTGCGTGTACGAGGGGAGCTGAAGCTACATGAACCTGGGCTAAGGAAAAATTAAGGCTGAGTAAGCCTAGTACTCCTGAGAGCTGGTGCTCAGCCTCTCGCTGAGGGCACACTGGAGGCAGGGCAGCCTCAGCAGGGACGGGAACCAGTTATCCCCCCTGCATGGGGAGGGCCCCACTGTGTGTGGCCTGACTTGCTCCAAACCCTCCACGTTTCAATGATATCTTTCTGTTAAAATACCACCTGGTGCTTCAGCAATAGTTTTATTGCTGTCAGCCTGCAGCCTGAGAAACTAACACATATCTACATAGGGCAGTAAGAGCTGGAGCCACCTCACTTGTTTTCCTGCAGGCAGCAAAGAGACCCTTATCCAAAAGGGGATATGAAACCTGCCATTGCTGCAGGGACCCTCACAAGCTGCTGCGGAGGGAGGCCAGTTTTCCTGGAGGCAGAGGGAACACTGCAATCCCATGGGGAGGATGACAACAGAGCAGCCTGGCTATGGGATGGGGTGAGGAGCTGGAAGCACTGAGAAACCCTTATTTTAATGTGGATGGTGCTGGGGAGAGGTCTGGGGTGGCGTCTGCTTCACCTCTTGGTCCCTGCATCCCTGTGGCATCCCTGGCAGGGCCGCACACCATGCCCCTCATGCCAGTGCATGCAGCTGTAGGGACAGGGATCCTGGTACGTGCTCTGGGGGTTTCCACAACCCACCCCCCCCCCACACCTAATGTCCGACATTACCAGCCCAACACCAGCTTGCTCACGTAAGCCTGAGGATGCTTATTTGGTTGTGAAGCAGTAAATTTAGGCCATTTTATCTGCATTGTATACCTGAGGGCTGCTCCTCAATGTGGCTTGCCCGTTTTCCTCCCTTTCTCCTCCTCAGCATTTAACAGCTTGCCTTTTCCTTCCATGGCTCAAGAGTGATTTTTGGTGTGCCATCTTGGGGACCGCTCAGTAAAGCCCTAGGCCACCAAAGATCAGACGTGCCACAGAAATGCCTGTTAATAGGTCTTAGATGCAGGTTATGTCTAAACTGGCATTTCCTGGAAAAAGGCAGCTCAGGTGCCCTGGCCGGTGCCTCTCTGGACCGCTGGCATTCACAGGGTGCTGCCCCTCTGCAACACGCCTCCTGTGAGTAGGGGCATGGGGTCCAGGGGGGTAGTTTAAGGAAGGAAAAAGCTGTTGAGCCACTGCTGTGTGCGGGACAAGGGTGCCTTTGGTGTAGGCAAGCTGGCAAGCCCCGGAGCTGTCCCTTCCAGCCGGTGCAGCCGGCTCCATGGGGAGCTGGGCAGCAGCAGCATCTTCGCAGGCAGGGGCGGCTCTCCCCCCCCCAGGGGGTGTCCGGGTGCCTTTATTCCGGCAAACACAGACGTTTAAAATAGGAATTTTGTTCAACCAGCGTGACGCCGGCTCTATGTATAGTCCGCGCCTGGGACCAGCCAAGTGACGCCCAGCTCGGAAAAAAAAAACGGAGCGACCCGGGACCGTCCCGGGATCCCCCGCAGGGCGACCACCTCTCCCCCCCCAATCCCCCCGGTGACCAAGCGGGGCCCCCCGCTGTCACGGCGGTGCGGTGCGGGGGGAGCCGCGCCCCGACCCCTCCGCCCCCCGGGCGGTGATGCCCGCCCGGGCCGGGCGGAGGAGAGGAGGGGAGGGGAGGGCAGGGGGTGGGCGGCCCGCTGTCCGTCCCCCCGGCCCCGCAGCGGTGCCCGTCCCTGCCGGCACGTGCCTGCCCGCCCCCTCGGGCCACTCCCGCGCCCCGACGGCCCCGGCATGGACGCGCCCGCCGGCCCGGCGGCGGGACCCGGCCCGAGCCCGGAGGCGGCCATCGAGAAGGAGGAGGCGGCGGCGTACGTGGAGATCCGCGGGTCGCTTCGGGGTCCGGAGGAGAGTGGCCAGCCCCCCGAGCCGGCCTCGGCCGGCGGCGCGGAGCGAGCGGCCGGTCCCGCAGCGGAAAGCGGAGGCGGCGGGCCCGGGGATGGCGGCGGCTCGGCGAGCGGCGGGCGGCCGGGCGGGGCCGCGGGGCCAGCATCCCCGGCCCGCGGGCGGGATCGCCCGCCCTCCCCCGGCGCGGCGGCGGGATGCGGCGCTGGCTCCGGCCCCGGCTCCCGGGGGGCGGCGGGCAGTGGCGGGCCGCCGGAGGCGGGGGGCTGCCCGGAGTCCTCCTCCTCCTCCTGCCCTTCGCCGGTGACCAAGGCGGGCGGCTTTCCCGCAACGGGAGACCCAGTGTCGACGGAGGGCAAAACCTCCTCGTCCTCCTTCGGCTACGAAAGCGAGGAGGACGAGGACGCGGGTCGCAAGGCGGCCCCCCCCGGCGCCCCCCCGAGCATCCCCCCCGGCGGCGGCCGCGACGAGGCGCACTACATCAGCACGCAGGAGATCCAGCTGACCGAGGTGGACCACGACATGGACTTCGACGCGGGGCTGGCCGCCCGCTGGGACTTCGAGGACAACAACGTGATCTACTCCTTCGTGGACTACGCCTCCTTCGGGAGCGACGAGACCCCGGGGGACACGCCGACGTGCTACCTCAGCACGACCACCAGCGACCCCAACAACCAGACGGACAGCCTCGACAACACCAGCAGCACCGAGCTCGTCAGCCTCACCTCCGAACACGACACCCCCGGCGGGGACAAGCGCGCCAGCTCGGGGGAAAGCCGGTCCACGCAGCCCGGCCGCCGCGGCGGGAGCCCGGCCGCCCAGCTTCTCCTATCAATCAAAGCCGCTTCCCGGGCTATAAATGAGTCTAGCGACGTGCGCGGAAAGCAAAACGCTCCTCACGCTGCCAAGCATGAAGGCGACATGAGCCTCCGTGTCCCCGCGGCTCCCGAACGCGACGCGAGTTTAAAAGCGGACGCGGCCCGCGACCACGCGAAAAGATTCATCGCGGTCCCCGCGCGGCTGCAGACGCGGTGCGGGGCCGCCAGGGCGGGGGAGCACTCGAGCGGCGCCTCCAGCGCCGTCAGCGAGTTGGACGATGCCGACAAAGAAGTGCGGAACCTGACGGCCAGGGCTTTCCGCAGCCTGGCGTACCCCTACTTCGACACCCTGCGCCCCGGCTCCCGCGCCTCCTCCGCCTCCCTGCCCGACCATGCCCTGGGCATCAACCGCTGGTCCACCTACCTGGACCTCAAGTGCGGCAGCCTGGCGCCGAGAGCCGAGCCCAGCCTGCTGCGCTGCGGCCGCTCGCAGAGCAAAGCCCTCGAGTTCGTGGTCAGCAAGCTCGACGGGGAGATCGCCCACGTCGAGGCGCCGCGGCGGCTCGGGGGGGGCTCCCGGGTGGTGACCCTGCTGGACCTCGGCGATGCCCCCGAGGCGGGCGGCGGGGATCCGCCGGCGGCGGAGGGCGGCGGCGGCGGCGGGGGGGGGGGCCAGCAAGAAGTCCAAGTTCGCCTCCAGCCTCCTCAAAAACGTCATCTCCAAGAAGATGCAGCTGGAGCACGAGTTCAAGATGGAACGGGGCGAGATCACCGACACCTCCTACACCGGGCTGGGAGCCGGCCGGGAGCCGGAGCCCGGCGGCGGCCGGGAGCGGCAGCGGGAGGGCGGCGTGCAGCGGCAGAGCTCCCGGCACTCGGAGGGCGGCTCGGACTGCGCGGCGGCGGCGGCGGCGGCGGCGGAGGAAGGGGGCGAGGGCGGCGGCCGGTCGCCGGCCTCCAAGGCGTCGACGCCCCGCGAGGGGAGCCGCAGCCAGGACCGAGCGCTGTCGGAGGAGCTGTGCGAGGTGAAGCGCAGCGCCTCGGAGGCCATCAAGGCCACCTTCCTCCGCAGCCAGAACAGCGCCTTCAGGTCCTGGAAGGAGCGGGAGGCGGAAAGGAAGGAGGAGAGGGCGCCCGTCGGCAAGCTGAAGCTGTCCTCCAGGCACGACTGGCGGGCCGACCTGGGCGAGATCTCCGCCGGCAAGTCCACCAAGATGTCCCGCCTCTTCGTTCCCGCCATCCAGCACACCCCCCGCGAGAAGGAGCCCGGCAAGCGGGCCACCAAGTGCTCCGCCGCCGCCGCCTCCTCCTCCTCGCCCCCGGCCGCCAAGCCCAAAGCCCCCGAGATCAAGATCAGCCTGGGCAGCCTGCAGCAGCCCCGGGACGCCGCTTTCAGCATCGCCCAGCTGCTGACGCCGCGGATCGCGGGCCGGCCGCCGGAGGAGGGCAGGGGCCAGCAGCCCAAACCCCCCAAGGCCGGCGACGGCCCCGACAAGGTGCCGCAGTTCCTGGTGCGCGACGTGAGGGACGGCAAGCACCGAGCCCAGGGGCCCCTCCATCAGGTGCGGGACGTGCGGAAGCTCATCAAAAGCTCCTACAGCTGCGACTCGGGGGATAACAGCAGCGACAAGGGCAGCGTCGCCTCCGACCAGGGCGGCCCGGAGCAGAAGCCCCGGCAGCAGCTGGTCATCGCCGGCGTCCCCAGGTCCCTCTCCCCCGTGGTCATCACCTGCCAGGCGGTGGGCCACGCCAGCACCAAGCCCGCCGAGGCGGGGGCCAAGGCGGCGGGCAGGGCGCCGGGCTGCCCCCCGGAGGGCACCGTCCTGGTGCACCGCACCTCGGGGAGGCTGCCGGTGGCCACCATCGCCCCCAACAAGAGCGACCCGCGCCAGCCGGCCGTGCTGAAGATCGTCTCCAAATCCGCCGCGCCCTGGCGGCACCAGCCGCCGCCGCCGCCGCCGCCCGCCGAGAGGGGCCGGGGGCCGGAGGAGGACCCGCGGGAGGAGGGCAAGGCGGCGCCCGTGCAAAACGCGCTGGAGAAGCTGACGGCGGCGGTGCGGAGCATGGAGGAGCTCTACAGCTTCAACAAGCGCGAGTGGAAGCGCAAGAGCGACCCGCTGCCCATCACCGACAGCCACGTCCTCTCCCTCATCGCCAGCCAGGAGCGGGACGCCGGGCCCCGGCCGACCCCCCCCGCCGCCGCCGCCGCTCCCCCCCCGGTCCCGCCGGCGGAGAAGACGGAGGAGCCGTCGGGCAAGGGGCCGGGCGGCGAGCGGCTGCCACGCCGCCCCTCCAACAACGCCGCCGACAAGGTCTCGGCCAAGGCGGCCGCCTTCGAGAGCCTGGCCCGGCAGCGGCAGCGCGGCCCGCCGCCCCCCCGCGCCGAGCCGCCCGCCGCCCCCCGCGCCCTCCTCACCCTCCGCGGGGCCGGGGCCGGGGCCGGGGCCCCCGCTCCGGGCAAGCCCCCCCCCCCCGAGGGCGGCCTGCGGGGCCAGGCGGCGCCGCGCTCCCCCCGCCCGCCTGCGGGCGGCGGCGATGCGGAGCGCGGCCCGGACTGCGGGAACTACCTGGCCCTGCCGCTGAAGGCGGCCGCCGAGCCCGGCTCCCCGCCCTCCCCGGCGTCGGGGGCGGGCGGCGGTGTCCGCCCCAGCCCGGTGGCGGCGGCGCTCTGCAGCCTGCAGCCTTTCGGCACCACCAAGCGCCCCGGCAGCCCCGGACCCCCGCCGGGACCCCCGCCGCCCGCCGAGGAGCCCCCCGCCAGCGCCCCGCCGCCCGCCGAGGGGCCGCCCGCCGCCCTGTACCGCCCGCCTCTGCCCTTCGCCGCCCTGCCCGGCGCCGCCGCGCCGCCGCCGCTGCTCTGCTTCTCGCCCTCCGTGCCCGCCGCGGCGGCAGCGGCCGAGCCCTTCCCGCAGACGCAGCGCAGGGTGCTGCTGGACGTGAGCACCGGGCAGTACTACCTGGTGGACACGCCGGTGCAGCAGCCCCTCAAGCGGCGCCTCTTTGACCCCGAAACCGGGCAGTACGTGGAGGTGCCGGTGCCCCAGCCGCCGGCCGTCACCCCCGTCCCGCTGCCCCTCTCGCCCCTGGCCCTCAGCGCTGGGGCCTACGGTGCCACGTACATGCTCTACCCCGGCCTCCTGCCCGCCGCTGCCATGCTGCCTGCCGGCGCCCTGCCGCGCCCGCTATCCCACCCGGGCAGCGATGCCAGCGCCCCGGCTGAGCCCGGCAGCCCGGCAGCGGCAGAGGGGGCTTTCGCCGACAGCCCCTACTACGTGGCTACCGGCAAGGGCCCGCCGCCGCCACGGCGTGGGGCAGCCGAGGCGAAGCCGGTCATCAGCATCACGGCGCCGGCCACCGGCCCGCGGATCGTCGCGCCACCCTCCTTCGACGGCACCACCATGCGCTTCGTGGTGGAGCACCGGTGAAGGGCACGGGTGAGTGGGTGCGGGGCGTTAGGTGTGGCGGTCACCAGTGATGGTTGAGGGCTGGCCAGGTTACTCGCCAGATGAGAGCTGTGCCACAGCTTCTCCTCGAGGCGGGTCGGTACCGGGCCTGGGGTCTGTAGGTGGGCCCTCACCGGGACCTAAAGTATAGGCATAAGGTAGAAACGCAGAGGTTACGCACGCCTGTTGGTGCAGCTCGGTATCCCTTGGAGCAGGTAAATAAGCCTTTTTGTTTTTTGACCCGGAGGCATTTTCAGTAGACGTGCACCATAGTTTCAGTAGATGCGCGTTTGTGCAGCCCCGTGGCTGGGGGGGGGGACCCCTCTCAGTGACCCTTTGATCCCGAGGAGGGGAGTGTGGATGGACAACACCTCCTCTGGACCCTCCTTGCAAGCCATGAAACAGCCCCTCTGCCTCGGCAGCGCGTATTCCCCTTCCTCACCTCTCCCAGGGGAGCTGAGCGCCTGTCTCTCTGCCCCTGTTTCTCCTATTCTCGTGCAGAGCAGGGGGAGGGGGCTGATGGAGGCAAACCCTTATTTCACGTCCTTTTTGCTAGTGGGATACGTGGGGTAGATGCTGGTGCACTCCTGCGTTGCTGTGGGGCTGCTGGCAGGGGCAGGGGTGCCTGCGGCTGCCGGTGCTGCAGGAGGGCTCCAGCCGAGCTCATGGACACCCCCGTAAGTCACGATTTCACACGGCTGCTCCGAGCTCGGCCTGCTGCAGTCCCACCAGTGTCCGGTTACCCGGGGCTGTTACCCAGGGCCAGCCTCCAAATTCGGGGATGCACGTGCGGGGATGTTGAGTGCCTGTTCTGGGGCAAGGAGGAGGGCACGGGGCTGGGTGTACGGCACGTGTCAAAACCAGGGTGCAGGATGTCTTGTGCAAAATAACCAAGGAACGATTTTGTTTGAAAATACCTGAAATATTAAGAAAGTACTTTCAGGATGGGTGTCGCTGCTCCTTCTGCCTCTTGCGTGAAAACACGCAGCTCATCTTTATCAAGTGCGGTGCTGGGCAGAGCTACCAAAGTCTTTTGTGGCTTACCGAAGACTCACAAAGTTTGTTCTTGGTGTATATCAAGAGGCAAAGAAAAACAGCAGTGACAGTCGGAGGTTTGGGTTTGTCACCGGTTTGCACTGGGTTCTGTTCAGTCTCACGCTTGAGGTTAAATCTTTTCTTCCAGCGTTTGGGCTATCTTTTTTTTGCTTCTGTAGTTCTGTTAGTTTGCATCATCTACTACTGCATAGTAGATTATTTGTTGAATTAAACTTTACTGGAATGATTTATACACTTCCTACTTCTCTGCTTGTAAATACTTTATCTTGAAAGTGCCATTCTTTTATCCTGGATATAAATTGTTTTCATTGGCCCTTGGAGGCTCACTCAGGACAGGCAAAGTACCAATTTAAGTTGAGCTCTGCTGTGCTACTCGAGTTGATCTTGTCAGTAAAGTCTTGATAGAGTACCTAGATAAAATGGCAAAAGGTATTTGTTTTTTTTCTATTTGGTCTATAGGCTGAATTCAGACTGCTAGCACAAGGGATTCATTAGATTTCAGTTTAGGTTAGGGACTTGCTGTTTCTGAAAAGGTGTGGTATGTAGTACACGTACTTCTATTTTACAGCAAATATTGACACAAAAGCCTGTAGCTTTTCTTATATCACTCTTTAAAAGCGAAACCCATCACGTTTCCTGGTGTGATTTGCCCCTTGTTTCCCAGGGGGCTGTCCCATCGTGTCATGCAGCTGGTTTTCCTGCAGTGCCTGGTGTATCACGGAGGCAGGTGATGCTCCCCGCAAATTGCTCTTTCTCATGGGTGAAGTTAATAACTTGCATCGATGCTCCGCTTTTTCGTGTTATGTCAGAGCTCCTCTGTTGTGAGACAGGTGTAAAATCTTCCCCAAAAGACTGGTGATGCAAAACCTTGCATGCTCATTACAGAAGGTCATTCAGCAGCCTGAAGACTTTCATCTTTTACCATTAATGATGCCAAGATGCATGTTGTCTAATACAGGCAGGGGTGCCGCCTTCCTGCCGTCTCAGACCTGCTGAGGTAGGTGTCCTGCTGGTGTATAATGGCTCCAGCGTGTTTTGGATTTTTTCTCCACCTGTTCTCAAAGTCAGTAGAACAAATAATTTTAATTGCATGCTGCGAGACATGTTTAACTTGTCATCAGACTTTGCTTATTCATATAGCTCTCACTGGAAAATAAGGTATATGCCAGAGAGGAATCGCATCTACAGCCTTCTTCTCGTTACTCTATCCTGTCCTTGTGCCTACTCGGCATTTTCATTCACCTACACAACTTTCATGTCCCAGTGGATTATTTTTTCTATTCTTCTCTCTTTTATTATCTGGGGTTTTTTTTGTTTCCCCTTCTTATCCTGTATCTCTTTTGTCTTTCTCTTCCTAATTAAATGTGTGTGTTTGCTTGGGGTAGTGTTTTTCCCCCAACAAGAACAGAAGTATAATTTCATATGAATTGGAGGGTGAACTGTTGATAATTTTTTCATTCCAATTGCTTTCACATCAGATCAGGGGTTTTTTGATTGCTGTGGCTATCCTAAAATTGATTTTAAAACAGGCAGATTTCATCACATGAGTATGAGGTTTGAATCAAATACTGTCATTTCAGGTCCCTTTTTTTTTTCTAGCCAAAATATGCTGAGTGAATGCTCTTTTTTTCCACTCCTGTATTTCTTTCTGCACTGTACATATCTTCCTTCCTCTTTCACTCATTTTTTTCACATCTTCATTCACAAACTGTGTTACCATGTCAAGGACTGCTTCATCTTGATCTCTGTCACCTTTTAGAGATGAAGCTTCGGTGGAGGTGTGATGCCTGTGGCACTGCTGGCACCAAATCTCTGCACATCCGCAGCTCTTCCAGCACTTCTTTCTGTGATTGCTGCTCTTTTCTGCATAATCAGTTTGGACTCTGGCAGAAGCCAAGATGTCATTTCTGAACAATTCTTACATTTTTGATATACAACAAATATTAGAGAACATGTACGTGTTTCTGAAAGATACCATGAGGTCACTTTTCTCCCTCATTTTCTTCTCTCACAGTAGTTGGTGAGCTTTTAGCAACATAGTTCTTGCTTACTGCATTTATTCCTTCGTATGGAAAAAATAAGATGGTTCAGTTCTAGTAAATTTGCCAATCTGCCTGCATCCGAACCTAGACAGCACTGACCTGTAGCGAGCGGACTGCCTGAAGGAGCTCATTCCCAGCCCGAATGACTGAAAATGTCATTATAACTTTTGTATTTATTCACACGTTACAGTCTGGGGAGTTTATGCCTTGTCTTAGGTAAATAAACAAGAAAAGAACATGTAACAAAGTAGAGAGTAACTGTAGTAAAGAGTACTGCCAATATTAGAAGGGTATTTTTCCTCGCTCTATTCAAACATGGGCCTAAACTGAAGCCACCTCACAATTACGAGAATACATGGGGCATTTCTTTTTGTGGTGAGAGTAGGCTAAGTCAAATGCGAGCAGTTCAGTCATCAAAGTATGCAAATATACTTATTAGTTGTGTTTCTTCCTACCTGCCATCAGACAATCTATGACTGCCTTTAAAAATTAATTTTGTGTGGATAGCATATACAAATTATTTTTTTAAGGCTCATAAACTGATATTTTTAAACTCTGTTTTAGTTGTGTCCTATTCAACAGAATGTATAGTCTACATTATTATGTAAAAAGGTCAACTTATATGCAGTACATAGGATTTACTTATGCTGATGCCTTTGCTGAGAATTTAGTAAAGCATCTGTCCAATTTTAGTGGGAAATACAGGAATATTCCAAGAACTAAAAGGGCTTCAGCGTTTGATCTAGTAAATCAGTCTACAAATGTCCATGAGCTTGTGTTCAAGACCATAGCTACTTAGGAAATGTTTAAACAGAGCCTAACTTGGATACCAATAAAAGTTAATGATGAGCTTAATGCCTCTTCTTGCCCGGGATGCTTGCCTGAGCTAGTATTTAAGTCTTAACTCCACAAATCTTGGAGCACATGGTTACAGGTTGCTTCTGTTTTGCTTACACATGCCACGCTGGACGCTGTGTTGGTAAGTAAGGTGCTGGGGTCTCTAACTGAAGCAGATGGATCGCTTAAATCCCAGATGGATCGCTTTGCCCTTTTTCTACCTAGGCGCGTGGGGTTCCCCAGGACCAGTCCGTGGGTAACCACACATGTCACACCTCGAGCAGCAAGGATCAGTTCTGCTCAAAAACTAAGGCTGTCCAACCACTGACTCGATTTCGAAGTGGGGTGCTACTGTCTGATTCTTGGCAGTAGCTTAGGAATTGGTAGCAAGAGTAGTGTGACAGTGAAGGCAATACCATGCACTTCCTGGGAGCAGTGAAGATCACTGAAATGGTTGTGGCAGCTCTCTAACAATCTACTTTTTATTAATTATGCTTTTCTGTTTGTTTGTTTGATTTTTGTTTGTTTTGTTTTGTTTTGTTTTTTTACAGGGATAAGGAAGAAGAATCACACTCCTTTAATCTGAAATACACTTGGTAACTCTAAACGTTCATCCTAAAAACTGCTTCTACAGTTTTCTCATTTTCTTGTGTCATCATACAAAACAAGTGTGTAAGTTTCTTGTTTTCTCCTAAATACCCCCCAGTTTTGGAGTATGCATATGTTTAATTATGTGAGCAACACTAAATTACTGCATTATTTTCTGCAAAGTTGTTATATTGAAGCCAATCTGCAGGCCTTAGGCGTTGCCTCTGTGCTGGTGGCTAGCAGTTGTGGTGCCACTACAGCTGTTTGTAAAACCCAGGGCGTAAATACAGCAGTGTTTCAGCGTGCATCGATGCACAGCTTCATCTGGTCCCTGAAACGTGTTGTGATGGTCCACCGCAGTCCTGCAACTCTTTGAAGGAACTAAAGCCCTCAGCTCCCTCCCGTTGCAGTAAATGAGGGCCTTCCCCATAGGTTTCAGTGACAATGTGCCATCAGATGTCTATTTTGTACTCTGTGCTTATGCATTTGGGATTGCAAACGGAGGGATCTGTGGTGTTAGGATTATCCATAGTGTTTCTTCTTTGGCATGGTTCAAAACAGATTGTGTAAATGTCAGAAAATGCATTTGATTGCTTTCGGTTCCTGTTTGTTCCTCTGTACTGTGTTGAACATCACAAGTTGCCTTAATTATGACAGTGTTTAAATACTGGAAAGCCAGAAAATTGAATGTAATATTTTTAAATCCTGGTTCGAAAGGAGAGGGCAGCATTTATTTTTCTTTAAGACTACAGTTTATTCTTCCTTAAATTGCAACATTGCTGAAAAAGTAATCCTAGTGATTCCTCTGTGAGAGCAGTTTTTTAATGTTACACCCCCAATAATATGTAGTTGTTTCTTTAGCTGTTGTTTGGCAGGTTTATCTGAGGGCTATCTGTATTTGCTAAGAAAAATTTCTCTTTTGAACAAGAAAATATAAAAAATATAAAATAAGATTACTCAAAATGCAGTGATACATGTGTCCATATGTCAAACTCTACTTAAACTGATTATTTTGTTGCCAGCAACTAGTTTGTCTCAGCAAAAGAGAATTGTTATAATGACAGTAAAACTAAACTACAATAGTATGTTCTCTGCCCAAAATTTCAGTTCAGTGAAGCACTTTGGGAAGCCAATAAATGTAAGATCAAGCCTAAATTATTTACCGTAAAGCTTTCTTGAGGTACCAGGTTGGAAATCTAAAATCTAAATGAAAAACCTGCAAGTCTGTACTTAAGCATTTGCCCACAGGCAGGGTTTTCCTGTGCCTGTTCTCAAGGTTTCCTGCTGCTAATGAAGTTTCAGCGTTTTCCATTCTTAAAGCCCCAGGTTTTCATTTTCCTGAGTAACTCACAAGATACAAAAAAACTCAGCTGCAACTGTCTTTAACCATACATGTGAGATTGTATTTCAATGCAATTTATTTGTTTACAGGCACAAATTGAAATTGCCCTCAGGATGAAATGCACTGCAAGTATACAGATAGTGAGTGATTTAACATGTATCTTCTCATTTATCTTCATCGTTATGAAAATCCAATGAAAAAATACTATTCTAACCCTTTTTAAAGAGCTTGGTGTGCCCAGCTAGAACATAGAGTGTGTAAACTTAATCCCTGTGCTCTTCAATTGCATGGTCTCCGGTTACAAGCTTTAACTTCCTACCGGGATTTGGGCTGAGTGCCTCTTAAAGAAAATGAATGCTTCTTCACCGTTTTCACGACTGATAAGTCCATAGATGTTACGACTACAGTATTGGTGTTAAACAAAACAGTACTTCGGACTGCAGGACAGTGCAGGTACCAGAGTAGATCGTCCGCTGTGACATACACGTGTACGGTATGTACATTATAATACTAGCATCCATGTTTAAAAACGTTTCTGTCCTATTTTTTTTCCTGTATCGGTGCTTGGAGCGAAGTTTCACGTTGCAATTTACAAGATAGAGGTTTGCACACTCAAACTCAGGGTTTACAGCTTCACCCGGTGTACTTGAAAGGAAAAAAATGCGTAGAAAACAAGTGCCCAGAATTTCAACATGTATTTGTTGGAGGAAAATTTTGCAGGGATTTTTTTAACTGCCTGTGGAGGCAAAAGCAATGAAATGAGGCAATACCAACAGCTATTTATTTTCTCAGGGGAGATTTCTTCAGTGGAATGTGTCAATCCTAATGTCAAACAGTGTTTGCTTAATTTTGTCTATTACTAAAGAGACTCCATCAAGGGGTCCGTTTTGCAAGGAGACCCAGTCCAGCAAAGCCTTCACATGCATCTCTAGCTTCAAATATCTAAGCAGATTCCTGGGAACTTCAGCAGGATTGCAGTCTCTTTTTTTTTTTTTTTTTTTTTTCACCCAGCAATGTAACGCTTTGCTGAACTTGGCCCAGAGCGCCGAGTGCCTTGCAGACCCAAGTCCTGGGTTCTTCACTTTATATGTATAAAACCAAAGCTCTGGGCTTGAGTCTAGCTGGACCCAGCAGATAATGTCACAAAAGGTTGCCAGAAGAAGATCTGGTAATATGGTGCTCCTCCACGTATACCCAGTGGTGAATTTCTCCAGCCGATGGGGTGATGTGTAACCACGTATCTTGGATTAGAGTCAAGCCCTCCGTATCAGGGTTCACAAGCTGCTAGTATTACATGTTTCATGGTGCAGTCATAGTATGTTACAGGTGAAATTCACCCTGTGTGCAAAGCAAGGCAAAACCCTGTGCACCACTCAAGTTCCCTCCCAGCGCTGCTGTCAGGGTTTGGGGTCTGCGGTGGCCGGCCAGCCACTTCCACATGTTTTAGGTCAGGATCCAATTAAAAGATTGAGCAGGGCTGGAGTGATGCACGAATGTTGTTTTGGTCTTTTGCAGCAGGGTTGGTTTCAATCGGTTAAATTTAATCCTTGGTGGATCACTTGGTGAATGGTTTAAAATGTATTTATGGGTTGTGTGGGTTTTTTTTTTCTCCTTGTCTGCATTGAAAGCTATCTTTACTCTCTAGTGTTGATGGCCAAAGTGTCATTCCTTATGCTCATAAATTACCATTAACTTGTGGCTACCTGAGAACACATACTTTAAAAACGCTTGTGTTTCTTTTCTCCTTTTTCTGTTTTGTTTTTTTTTTTTTTTTTTTTTTTCTTTTTCCTCCCTTTTTTAAGGGGGTGGGTTATCAGTGTAAAGTTATTTAAAAGTGCAAATGTGAGGTAAGGATAATGATTGCTAAGAGGATGTGGATGGTATGTCTGATGAGAGAGCGGTGGGCTATAAGGCAAAGGAGAAAATGCCGCGAACGCATTGTGTTGATGATTGTTTCCTGTGGGGGGAAAAAAAATGAAAAATGAAGATACATAACTGGAGAAAAATGGACTCTTTGAGCTGCTCTCAATGTAGACAACACTGTGGCAAGTGCGTAGCCGAAGCCCGAGGCAATCCCGCTGCAGGGTGCCGTCAGCCTGGGATTGAAGGACAGCGGAGTCGCTCTGAGAATTGCACTAGCAGCGTGTTGCATGTCGGGAACGCTCCAGCACGTCACGACCACGTGAGAATGGACTGTCTGAAACCGCTGAGTACCAAAGTTTGTAACTGAATGAGTTAGTGTTTGTATTATGTTGGGGCTTTTTTTTTGAATGTTATGATAAATAAAATGTATTTTTCAGTAAAAGACACACTGCAAGTAAGCCTGCAGTTCCCTGCTTGGTTGTATGTTTGCGAAGTTACCTTCGCTGTTGTGCAGAACAAGTGATAACAGAGGCATTACTTGGTTCAACGTATAAACAGTAACAAAAGAAAAGATTTCAGCAGAGAGCCAGCCCAAAACCACACACTCAGAGTCTCCCCAAGTTTGTCCCAGTGCTGCGAGACTCTTCCTGACCTGATCTCACTGTTTATTCTGCCTTCTTAGGACAAAGGGAAGTTGGGGGCATTGCTTCATTTGACTGTCCTTGATTTTTTTATTTTTTTTTTTTCCCCCAGATAGAAATTAAATGAAAAAAGAACTCTCCGGGTTCAGTGGACTAACTTTGACAGGTATATGGGTTTGGGTTTTCAAAGAACAGCATCTTTATCTGTTGTAATGTGTTCAGAGAGAGCAATCAGTGGGGTGAATAACTTTTTTCTGCTCATTCTCTCTGTTATTTTTATTGTTGAATATCATCGTGCAATCAAAAGTGCAATTACTTTATTAATGGATAGTAGTATTGCTTGAATTATTGCTAGGAAAAGCCTTCTAATGCTTTCACGTGTTTCTTCTACCTTAATGGAGATTGAGCAGCCTTCTGATGTTAAGTCCAAATGTTTAAAAAAGCACGAGTCAAACACAAAGAAATCACAAAATGGTCTTGAAAACTAAAAGATTGGTTTGGCAGTTTAAAAGAACACTTCCACTTCTCAGTTTTCAGTGTGTAAGGGGCACATTATAATGATCTTCCTTTTAATCACATGCCCTAGATGCTCAAAAGGAAGAAAGATTTGCACCTCATTATTTATCTGAAAGTAATACAATATGAACACATCTGCTGTGAATTTGCCGTATCATTCCAAGAGGTGGGCACATGGTCTTCCTACCTTGCCAGAAGAACAAGTTTACTGGGAAAACAGTGGTTTTGTGTTTGTGACATTCTTTCTCTCTCTTTCTGGATTCTTTGAAATTTGTACCTTAGCGTTGCATTTAGGATAGATGTCCTCAGTGGCTTCACTGCCAATGTATTAGTGATTAATGATTCCTATACAGAGATACACCTGGATTAAGTGGCAGACCCAAAAGATTTGAGAGGAATGAGAATAGATGTTGAAAGGAAGAATTGGGAAAAGAGGGAAATGAATGGGGGAGAGTGCAACCGTGCAGGCTTAGCTCAACAGAAGCAAGCTGGGTGACTGCAGGACCTCAAAGGATGATCAAACCAGAACTGAATTAATAGTGGGGGCATAGAGGGGAGAGAAAGGCCTTTAGTTCACTTTGTTCAAACTAGAGGAATCTGAAATTGCAAAAAGACCTGGGGTTGCCAACAGGAAAATCTGGGAACTGCTCCTTTGCTTTTTTGCAATAAGAGCTCCTGGAGTGTGGTTTCAGTGGACCTCTGTAATGAGCTCTTCACAGCGCTGCCAGTTTCTCACAACGGATGGACATTTTAAGCTGAAACCTCTACAAAAGAGAGGTCAAAAGTAAATATGCTGAGAGAAATTAACTCTAACCATTCCCTAAGGGTCCCAGTCCTGCAGCTAGTGTTTGTCCAACAGCAATGTGCCTGATGCTACAAGAATCCACTGAATTTAAAGTGAGAGGGTTTCCTACGATTCCTTAAATTGAAGTGAAAAGTCTGGTGAACTATGTCTAGGATTTTCAAGGATTGGTGGAGAAAATCTTCCGAATGTCTAGACAGTCTTTAAAACATCAGTGGTAGGAATGATGAGACCAAAAGGTAGAAATGCAGCACTTCCTGTGAGAAGGATTGAGAGCAAAGCACAATGAGAAGCGGATAATTCGCTGGTGTCAAATCTAATCAAGCTATCCAGGATAAACCAAAGAAAACAAGAAAAAGAGAAAGCACCTTATTTTTAGAACTGCTGTCATCTTGGATTGTTGCTATTGAGAAGAAGTAATCTGCTTGCCAAACCCAAAAGGAATATGCCTAGTCTGTCCAGCTGTTCTATTTTTGAGGTACCCATCATCTAGTTACCGCACTGGAAGCTGGTGCTGCAGAGCAGTGCCTGCCAGCCCAGCTCTGCCACTGCCCCGCTTTCCATGGACCTCTGCTGGACAAGGCACATGCCTCAAGTCGAAAATGTGGTTAAAGACCTTGCTCAGCCAGGACTTCTGTTTATTTTGCTATTTTTAACACAGCCTCCTGTGTTCTAAGGTACAACTGCAGCATGCATCATATGGGCTTGCAACTCCTAAAACGTATCTGTACCTAAGGACTGCAGTTCCTTCTGTGCTGTGTAGCCAGACAAATTCTCTAACAGATGCTCCCAGTAAGTCAGAGCTGACTTTGTAAGCAACGTGTATTCATTGGAAATCTAGGCTCAGTATTTTACAAGTTGTTGCATGTGTTAACTGTAGCACCTTTCACCAAGTATCAATTTTATTAAAAGTAAAATATTTAAAATTACAATCTTGTTCCCACTAGCAAAGAGAAAGGAAGATGCTGGCAGCATGATGGCAGGCTGTTCTGAGATCATGCTGGTTTACACCCATGCAGCTTTGGTTGGTATCCATTATTGGTAGGAAAGACTGCATTTTACCAGCCTTTATTTATGGTCAAGTGTTACAAAAATAATGATGTTTAGACCCCATATCTGCTGGCCTGTACTGTGCTGATGGTTTAATTCATAACCTCATGAGAAGATCTGCCTTCCAAAGCACTGATCTTTATATTTCCCCATGCTTTCTGCACCAGAATGTGCCTCGGAGTGGAGGGAGAAACTAAATCCTGGAATTTGAATAATCTTTGAAGAACATATGAAAAATACTCGAAAAAGTAGCAGTCCTTGAAAGTTTAAGGGGCAAGTTTCAAAATCTCTTTTGCAAGTGGGTTGCTTTTCGGACTTAGCTGGATTATCATTGCACTGTTCTTTCTGTGGCTTCCGATTAGAAAGGACTGAGCATTTGTTTGCTTCTCTAAACTTCACGTATGAGTTATCATTTCATTGCTACCATTGCTGATTATTTTAAAGTTCACGTAATAGCCATTATTAAAGATGTATGTTGTGTATTTGTGATTAATCCCCACTGATTTGATAAATGCTCATAGTGTTTGCTTTGGTTGTAACCCTGAGTGTGTTTTCACTTCAAATGCAGGCTTAAACAATGGATTAATTTCACCTTATTTTTAGAAGATTGTCAGTTTTGTTGTTTCCGTAGCTATGGAGCCCACTTAAGGAAGCCGTGGCCTTCCATTGCCCAGCTGTTGGACTAAACCCCTCCCGGAATCCCCATTATGTCCAGCTGTTAGGGTCAGATATCTTCAGAAGCAAGTGTATTGCTGTGATACCAGGGGCTATCCATGAGGACACGTATCGCTTCTGCAGGAGCAACGTGGGCCTCAGAGTCTCTGTTTGATTTAGTTTCAAGGGATGTTGTCAGAGCTGCGGAAACCCCAAAATTATTCTTACAGGCTGGTTGCCCCATTCTGAAAGACCAGTTCTCAATAGCACAGATGGGCCCACAGTTTTCCTCAACAAGCTGTGCCGGGGCTTGATGAGTAAATAGAAAAGCAAAAGACACCGATCAGTGTCTCTGGGACACTTGATGTACTTATGTTAAACAGACCTGTGCATTTCTCTTGAAAGAGAATCACACCTGGTGCTGTTGGCAATAGCCAGATTATCTTTTGTAATTGGAAAATATTTCATGTTACGCTTTTTTAAAAGTGAGCACCGATGCTACATTATTTTTATGTGCCAAAGGGCCCCGTTTTACAGGCACACATTCAGAACGTTCTTAGATTTGATAAATTTGAGAGGGCATAAGCCTCGCAGTGGGATTGCTGATATCAGACACTGATCTGGGTCTTACCCCTCCTCTGGGCAGAGGATTTGGGCTGGCACCTCCAGCACGTGGTGCATCCTGCTTGGGGTCTACACCACCCTCTGCAGATACTTCTGTCTCCTGACTAGAGGAGGAGCCCAGGACAAGTGGCTGTCCAATTTACCTTCTTGGTTCCTATGTGGTAATGAATTAAGTGGTTCCTCTTGCCCCTATCAACAACATTCCTTCCCCAGTGAGAGGCTTTCCCAACCCAGAAGGTAATGGACAAAAAACGAGTCCAAAAACAAAACATTTTTTCACACTATGTTTTTACCTATTTTATTTAAGCTTTGAGTAGAAGTGTGTCAGCATTTTCAGGAGAGACAACAAGCAGACTGTTTCATCCCACTGATAGCTTGGTTTTTGCAGATTTCTGCACTCTTGTTAATGTAAAATGTATTTCTTTTACACAGTTCCTATGACGACACTTCTTGAATGAGCAAAAAGGTGTAAGTCATTTTAATCAGAGGATTTGTATGAGTAGTGATTACTTTCTTGCATTTAAATATGTGCCTAACTTACCTAGAAGAAAATATTCTGGCTCAGCATAGGCTTTGCTAGACTGTGCATTCAAAATGGATTCAGGACCTTTTCCTTCATAATAGTTCAGAATTGCCTTAGTTGGTGCTTATTTCTTGAAATACAGCTGCCTTGATTACACACGGGGACACAAATTTTCAGGAGACAACCTTGAAGAGCAACAAGTGTTGGCTTAACTCTGCTCCTGGTGATAGCTACAGAAATTATACCATTGATTTCAATGGGAACAGAATTAAGGCAACCATAAGTACTTCTGGAAATAAAACCCCAAATTTTGAATCAGTTGTATTTAGCTATAGCAGTTAATAAAAAACTCCCAAAAGATAAATAACAATAATCAAGCTCTGACTGCTTAAAAAAAAAAAAAAAAAAAAAAAAGAGGGAAAATCCTTTTAAATCATGTAAAATAAAACCTGCTTTTTTGTAAACAGGCAATACTGAGTAAGCAGGAATTCATGGTCCATTTAGATGTTAATTGTACTTGAGTATTTGAATGAGGATTGGTCATAGGCCTAAAACACCTACATACTTTAAAATATATTCATAAATAATCATTCTTTATACATCATAATTGT